GAGGAGAGTGCTGGTCATTCACTCCCCCCACCTACAACCCCTGAGACTCGAACCCACAACCTTCAGGTTCACCTTCGGGTTACAAGTCCAGCTCTCTAACCATTAGGCCCCCTCGAAGTTTCATAACAGCCTATGTATGAATCATGGGGGAATTTTCATTAGAACTGTAGCTCCTTGTCTTAGTGGCAACATAAACTTCAGGCATAAGACTACATTATTGAACAACACTGCTGCCTAGTGTTCACAGCAAAGCAAAGACCTTTTAATCACCTGAATTTCTCAGACCATATACATTTACACCTTTATTTTACACATGTACATAGTTAACGTTGTGTGAAATTACAATCAAGAGCTTACTGGAGAATATTCAGCAATGTCAGAACATTTTTTTGAACTGACTAGCTGATTAAAAATAATCTAAGAAAGTAAGTACAATGGGAAATTCTATCATGCTTTACCATATTCGTCAGTAACTGATGGACATCACATGTTGAAGTATATGCTCAGGTTTCATTTTTTATGAGAAAATTATTATTTAAAAAAAAAAAATGGATCATTCATTGGTATTTCTGTGAATGCTTCTAAGGCATCATGTAATTGTACTATATTCTGCATGAGTGACCATGAATAACATCAGCATTAATCTTCATGTAACACTGAAGAGGATGTTGACTAGCATTAGCAAACCAGTCTGCTAACATTGTATTGATTCTTGTGGCTATTGTTTTTTGTTTTTTTCCTGGAACAGTCTAAGTACTCAAAAGCTGGTTATATTAAGTGCATAGAAAAAAAAAAAAAGTGAAACACAGCACCTTTAATACTCAGACAATGACTAATAACAGTGATAGAGTGTTATCTGCTTGCCATGTGAAACCGAACAAATCTACCTGGAAGCAAACAAATGTCCACATTTTCGGCTGCTAATGTTAGTAATTTGCGAATTCTCCATAAACAAAAATCTATGTGTAAATGGAGACCTTGCAAGAAATGTGAAACTGAGCATGTTTTTTGAAGCAACAGTGTTCTATACTTTACCTTAGGTTCACTTAGAAACAGAACAATAATAACAAAATAACCGCAAAACTCTGACTGCCTTCACAAGTTTGCTCAAAAAGCCTTTTAGTATCCTTATTCGTGATTTGGCCCATCACAGGTCAACCGATCACACACCGAATCGCATCAATTTGAATGTTAATTTTCACCAAATAAGATCCAAAAGGTCATTTGATACGATCATTTAAGGTAGCTGTTAACTGAAAGATATTTCCAGTATGAAATAGGGCTTAGAGAAATCTCTCCTAGAGATCAATAAAATAAGACCAGTTCATCCTAGTCATAAATCAGGACCCCATGTTGTCTACACTTGATCTGTACAATGACTGTAAAAGGCAGTGCAGTTATACGGTATTTTTTATGCTTTTTTTTTATGCGTTCAGATTCTCCATGGGTCCATGTGTCCATCCGAGATTCTCTTCAGCGTTATATGTCCACATGAGTGGTTGAATGTTTGTAGGATTTCTATAGAATTATCATTATAATCAGCAGATGAACTGCTTAGATTTTAGAACTGATCCCACCAGGTTCAAGGTCACAGCAAGGTCAAATGTCTGAAATAGTTTTTCTTCAATAGCTTCCTTCCTGTTTCAAGTATTTTTAGGGTATTTCAGGCTTACAAATTAGTACTAGATGACTAGACTTGTTGCACTTGTTGGTGACGAAGGCATTCGCAGTTGATGCTTTGACATAGACTTGTACTTGTTTTGGTAATTAAACTGGATTGTGAATTGTAAAGTGTCAATGTGGTCTTAGCAAGGCTACTGTTACCACTCAGACTGGCCTACAAAATAGGGTATTATAAAAAGGCAACATGCAAATACTGTAGGTCACTGTAGAGGTGGAATTTGTAACCTAAACTAGTTCTGTTGCTAGCCATGCCACAGTGAGCTGGTCAGAATCCGACTCAGAATCAGCTTTATTGCCAAGTACCATGGGTTTACATGTACAAGGAATTTATCTTGGCGTACTGGTGCTTAGCAATAGCAGTAAAATAAAAGAAATAAAAAGAATATTAATAAGATAAACATTGTAAGGTAAGATAGGAAAGTAAAAGAGAGAATAGACGAGAACGTTAAGAAATGAGAACGTTATGAAATGTCCTTTTTTTAAATTTAATCATACAACCCCATCTCGAGTAGCCGGTTATATTTGTCATGTGAAATATCACATTGTGCTTTGTCATTCCCTCAAAATAACCAGGAACAGCTGAGAAAAAGCCCGAGAGGCATGCCACTTAATGTCAGACATGAGCGCCATTTGTTAAAAACAATCACACATTATCTGTTGAGCTCTGGCTGATCAACACCTCTGAACGAAACATAAGCTCAAAGAGGTGCCAAATGCATACCTACAGCTACTAATTCATTCATAATACCTAACAGACACGAATACAACCACAAAACATGAAGAAATGTTAAATTAATGTAAAGACTTTGAACGTAAAGCTACATTATGCTAAAATATCATGAATATATCTACCACAATAACAGGATAGTATTAGTTGAGTTTTAAAATGCTTAGCCAGCTAAGTAGCTTTTTCCTTGGCTTCTCTAAAATGTTTTATACACCATTTCAAATGAATATTCATGAGCGGAGGAAGTGACATCGCTGTTCCTAGAAAAGATCCGTTTGATGGTAAACATCATTCAAAGCAGCAGCGAAGGATAATACTCCATGCCCCTCTTTTTATGTGACTGATAGCTTGATTTAATGACAGGATGTCCAAATTAAAATTAGCTCCATGTTCTTCAGTTGTTGGATGTTACTTCAGGCCAGGAACAAACTTGATATTATCAAGGCTTTTCTCTCTTCTGGCATCTAAGTGGTGGAACGAACTTCTCCTAGAAATCCTAACAGCTGAGTCACTGGCTAAATTCGAACGATGACTAAATATCTACCTCTTCATGAAGTACTTAAATTAGCACTTTGTTATTTAAAATGTAAAAAAAAAAAAAAAAAATTCTTGTCTTCTGTTTTTTTCATACTATACTAATCTCCCTAACAGGGTTTTAAGACTGATAATACACTCCTGGGCAAAAAAAAAGGGTCCAACCCCCAAATGGCAAATATTAAGATGTTAGTGGTCTTAACAACAACTTATTGGTCAGAAAATTAGTAAGAATGAAACAAACGCACTCCTGAGAGCTCTTGTGAAACCATTTGCTCATCTACTTCTGCTGAAGTGAACGGTTGGGGAAAAGCTAGAAACAGGGAAATTCACTTACACAGTCTTCTTGTACACAAAGGTAAAATCATGATCATGATTAAAATGTTTGATGTAGAATTCAGACTAACACACGTCTGGGTGTACAGAATGTTCCAAAAATATCTTCTGGGATTTTTTTTCTTAAATGATTAGTCATTATTTGGTTTTCTTCCACACCTGATGGAGCCCATCAAGGGCCACAAGACTTAAACATTTAAAGAAATCAAAGGAAAAGCTCTTCCTTACTAACTTCCTTTATCTATTTGTAATCATTTCTCAACAATGATTTGTTGTTAAGGCCATTAAAAGCTTAAAATTTTGCCATTTTGGGCTTGGCGCATTTTTTATTTATTTATTTATTTATTTTTGCCAAGGAGTGTTCTCTTGACCTGACCTGACCTAGGATGTATTTACTGATAGAGACTTCGATACGAGCCATAGCTTCCCCTCCAGTGAACCATGCTGAGTATGTTTTGGACAATGTTTGACAGCTCCAGCTTCACCATACATAATAAAGATGCCATCCAAGATGTTTTTTTGTTTTTTTTTCAAGATTATAAGAGCAAATATTTCCCACCTTTCTTCAAAGAAATTAAGCAAACACCCTAACTGTGATAAGCTTTCACTGTCTTTCTGGTGCAAACACACTCCTTATCAACAAGGTAATGATTCACATAGGGTAGTTACTTTAGGTAAAAATTTGAAGTCTTCAGGAAAAAAAAAAAAGCTGTTTTCACACATTTGTGTTCGAAGGATTGGGTAACGACAGTTGATCATTTATTATTAATTTTCAAATATATCTTGTCGCCACACTTTGCTGGAGATTCAAGGAGTCATTTTAGTCATTTTGCTTTGGCTGCTTACATTTAAAAATGGTGCTAAATGAATAATAACAATAACAATAATAAGTGCTAAATGTCATTTTTACCCCATACTTAAACTTATATTTCGCAAGATATTTAATAGTGATTTTCACATTTAGGTATCAGTTTGTCACAAATGTTTCACCTAAAATTGAATGAGACAAACAAGAGAGTCAAGTTGCTTGCGAGTCAATTTTAAATGCTTGATAAAATGTTTATTTTAGGAAAATATTATTGTGTTAAAACTTGCATAAAACATAAATAATTTAATGTGGACAATAAATAAGTAGCTCTGAATATTTAGCATACATTTCACACCCATATTACTGCATCTTAAACTAAAATGATACTAATATTAATACTGAAATACTGACTACTTGGCATTTAGTGTACATCTCTATAAGTATACTTACAAAGGTTACTATTCTCCAAGTACACTAGTGCACATCTCTAATAAATAAGTATATTGTGACGTGACAGTACATCAAAAGTAGACTATGCATCCGTTCAAATATATATTTGTATGCCTGTAGTGCACCTTGAATGAACATGACACCTTATTAACTTAGCAGATTAACAGTGTGAGACTTTGTTAAGAGGAGACAAATGTGAGATCACTGGGGTAATTTGTCTGAGGGAAAAAGCTGAGAGACAGGAGGCTTAAGCAGATGTCTGCCTTTTATTCCAATTTGATTAATCTCATTGCTGTCTGGGAGAAACTGTAGAGGTATGGCTGCTCCCATTAGTAGATCATTGGTCCGCATATTTGATTTGGCAAAGGTTTTATGCCGGATGCCCTTCCTGGCAGAACCCTCCCCAATTTTATCCGGGCTTGGGACCGGCACTGGGAGTGCACTGTTGTGTGCTGGGGATGGTTCCCTGGCCAGGAATCCAACCCGTGCCACGGTAGTGAGAGTGCCGGGGCCTAACCATTAGTCCTCCAGGGACCCCCACCAGACTGCATAATATGTTAATGAAATTACATTAGATCAGCTTTCACTAGGCTTTTAGCATTTTCTTATATCAGTATTTTCACCCAGGTCAATTATGCAGTAGACAGTGGGAATAAGTAAATCACCAGCCAGGTCTCATCAGGCAGCCATTCCCATTCACATATTAGAAGCGTAGCGAATGTACATGCCTGTTACATAATTGTCTGGTTGTTGTTTTTGTCCCATTTATTTCCCCCTTTATCTTAACAACCTATTTCTTCTGTGCAGTGAACAGATATGCTGAAATCAACTTTCAGAGGACTGGAGTGTTAAGGAACAAAAGCTTGCTGAAAGCCTCTGAAATAGCTCCGCTGGAGAGGAAATGATTTGCACCCTCAGATCGAGCCAGTTTCATAACGTCGTGACAGAGTAATGTACACTTAGACCCTAGTAGCCTTTTCGAGGGATGAGTGAGTGTGGCTTTGCTGACAGTCAACCACCAGTGCACATTTTAATATCATGGGGAGGATTATGTGTGGAGGCATATCAGGTAATCGTACAAATTCAATCATACTTTTTACACAATCATAAAAGAAGCTATGGTAAAACCAGTGCTGGATATCAGAAGATAATCTTTACTTCTGAATTAAAACTCTCAGTGACTGGCTACATTTTTTTTAGTTGGGCTGTTTTTCTTGTACTACTCTCTAATATATTTTTAGATGATAATATTCTTGGCCCTGACCTATTTGTACTAGCATGAGGACATGCTTGTGAAGGAGACTACAGAGCAATTCTGTAAGTTTTGTATAAGGATGTCTAAATGCTGTAAATGTAAATCTAAATGTAATTCAACATAATAAAAAATGGGCATGTTGCTGGATATGTTGTTATGTATATCTAAAATGGCCTGTTTAGTGCCTGACCATTTGGTGACAGTGTTGTGATTCCAATACTGTACACTTTCAAACAATCTGTTGGCAACATGATGGCTATTTTTCACCTTTGCAGCTATTTTTACGCTTGGAACAATTGTTGCTGAGTGGCTATATTGATCACGGTATTTTGGGTTAAGGCCATAGTGGCCAGGGATGCACTATTATTAGCAATGGCCCCTAACAAAAGAATAGATTTATAGGCAGTTAAGCCAGTCAGTGCGGTCCTGAAAGCCATGAAAACACTGATACCATTTTCACCGAGTCATTTTCTGAAATTTCTGAACTGTCCTATTAGCTACCTACTATCTTCAAGAATGAGAAATAATGAAATTATGCAGTACAGGAATATGAAAAGACTAGAGTTGCCTGGTGATCTGATACCACAATGAATTAATAATTTAGATGAATTTATATTGAAAGAAGTGAGGTAAAGTAATCCAAGCATACAGACAGGTAGTTATGAGCTAAAGGCCTTGCTCAGACCTTAGACTTGTAAAGACCTTACAACTTTCCAGCTATTCCAACAGAACCTTATCCACTCAGATATCACTGTACGCTGCAACTGTTTTTATGACATAATTGAATTCACAATGTAACAAATACTTTTAATGTATACTTTACATTTTAATGGTGTGGCAAAAATGGTGTCCTTGTGACAAAAAAGAACCCTGGAGTTTCTATGTTTAGGGCAAGGCTATGAATTAATCCAATGGATTAATTACTTACTATGAGAATTACACAACAAAGTGTTACCATCATAATTGTGCTTTTGGATAACTGTGTCTCAGTAGTATCTCAACTGTAGGTGTTGGTAGATTTCACTAAATATATGCTGCAATTCTGATTTTAGTGACTATCTGGCATCTGATGAATTTACATGTCCTGTTCCAGGAACTCAGGGCTGTCATCCAAAGACATGAACCTAGGAGTGCAGAGACAGCCACAAACACTCCTATATTTAAATCACAAATTTGTTACCATGAATTCAGAAAACCACAATACTACCCAGAGACGTAATACAAATCCAAACTGAGGTGGTACATCCTTCGTCTGTATTTGATAACAATTTATTTTAAATGTGTATTTCTGAGATATCTGCTCAACTGTTGGAGATGTCTGACACTATGATACCTCTTAAACTATGATGCCCTATCTTAGCTGCCCTTAAACAAACCTGTTTACGTAGGAAAGTTATTTGGGGCAATTAGCGATGAACACTGAGGCCATCTACACCAGCCTTACACAGGATGCTCAGGAGCATGAGGAGGCAGAGAATGAAAACCACCACATATTGATTCTCAACTGGTCATTTATGGCGGGGGAATTACAGACAGAATGGGTCATAATTGCTCATTTCTGGTTATGGAGGAAATGGAGGAGGAAATTAAGTCCTACTGTTAACGAACCAACACCACCAGGACACCCATTTGGCTGTGCCAATTTAAATCTTTATCTTTCACATAAACAGTTGGCAAAACCAACTACAAGGTGGCAGTTAATTGCTAAGGGCTATACCTGCTTTGAGAAAGGCCGTATAGTGATTTATTTCCCTTGCTAGTTGTCTCACGCAGAAGGAAGAGGGAACGACATGTACGAAGCATTTCCGTAAAGCATGATAGGTACTGTAGTGATGGAACTTTGAATACATAAATGTGACAATATAAAATTGTGAATTCCTCCAAAACACTGAGGCTCAGAGATGCAAGACCGTGCTACAGCATAATACAGCATGCTGTATTCCTTTTATGCCAGAGTTCCTTTAAGCTCGCTGGAATTAGGCACCTGCCATTCAGATGGAAAGCTATATAAATAATTGACAGTATGAATAAAATAAAGCTTTTTCATTTGTTTAAACATAATAACAACAAACTGTGCTTCAATATGTATCAAGTCCAAATATACAAACAATTTTCTTCCATAAATTGAAAACTTAAATAACACATTATATCTATAATATATATCTATAATTTATATAAATAATACATATATCTGTGGAGTATAGTTAATAAATAAGCCTAAATGTATGTTCTTGCATAAAAGGCCTTTAATTAAATAAACAAATAATAATAATAATAAAAGAAGAAGCCTTTATTTTTGTCACATATACATTACAGAGTGCAGGGTCAGTGCCCCTGGAGCAGAGAGGGTTAAGGGCCTTGCTCAAGGGCCATAACAGTGGCAGCTTGGTGGTGCTGGGGCTTCAACCCCTGACCTTCTGATAAGTAACACAGAGCCTTAACTGCTGAGCCACCACTACCCTATAATAATAATAATAATAATAATAATAATAATAATAATAATAGGGGTGGCACAGTGGCTTAGTGGTTAGCACGTTTGCATCGTACCTCCATGGTTGGGGGTTGGAATCCTGCCTCCACCCTGTGTGCGTAGAGTTTGCATGTTCTTCCCGTGCTTTGGGGGTTTCCTCCGGTTACGCTGGTTTCCTCCCCCAGGCCAGAGGCATGCGTTGTAGGCTGATTGGCATTTCTGAATTGTCCGGAGTGTGCGTGTGATTGTGCCCTGTGATGGGTTGGCACCCTGTCCAGGGTGTTTCCCCCCGCCTTGTGCCCCGAGTCCCCTGGGATGGGCTCCGGGCTCCCTGTGACTCTGTGTGGGATAAGCAGTACAGAAAATGGATGAATAATAATAATAATAATCAACATTTGTTAATAATAATAATAATAATCAACATGGTTGGGGATATTTTTTTATATGGCATATTATTTTCATAGTATAGGTTAGGTTTTTTTCAAGACTTCTTTAAAAATAAGGAAGGAAAGTCTCCTCACTTGGCTCGCAGAGCCATCTCCAGAAGGTGCTTTGTTTTGGACTGTGACGTTCACGCTCATCCCTGACTGACAAGCGGCTCGCGCGCGGCTCGACCAATCAGCAGTGGGACACGCCCCCCCTCCCCCCCGCCGCCGCCGCCCCCCCCGCGGAATGGATTGACAGGGGTGCATGGAGGTTGCCTCTCTCGTACATTGTGTTACGAGCGCGCTTGTGTAGTAGTGCACGCACCGCCGGCTATGAGCCGCACACCGAGCGCCATCTGACCCGCGAAAGCTGCTCAGCCGTGAGATTGAGGCGGAGGACAAACATGACGGAGAGGTTCGTGGTGCTGCCGGTGGCTCAGTGCCGTGACAGCGAGGAGCGCGAGCTTAATCATCACGATAATAACCGCGAGCTCTCACCTGGGTTTGGAGGTGAGGGAGATTTAGGTGAGCCAGAGGCTGTTCCTATCCTCCAGTACAGCAGAGAGCCTAACAAATACGGTGAGTGAAACATTGCTGCTTGCTTTTATACACGATCGCTGGAGCGAACTGGAGGACAAATCTGTACATGAGGAATTACCCCAGCTTTACCATGATCACCGTGCACTGCCGAGCATGCATGCTGATCTGAGCTCAGTGAATAAGGCACATGTGTTATTAGGTAGGCTAACACCTCTCCTCCAAGGATAACAACAAATAAGATGAATTTCCCATCATATCCCATATACCCATGTGGTTTATCCATGTGCACTTGCAGGTTGTATTTATATTAATGTAAATATGTCAAGTTATCATATTACTATACAGGCACCTGGTTCTCTTTCCCCTCTGCTGGTGGTTGGAAAAACTTCCACTGGAAAAACTGATTGCTTTGAGTAAAATGATGAATATGGCTTTCGGAATATGATATCTGACCCCTGTGACGTCATGGTGAAGAGCTCAAATTCCCCAGCACAGGCTGTCAGTTATTGCATATTCCCAACAGTACTCAAAATTCAGTATCATCTTAGTTCGTAGTCTTAAATTCCACAACGCACTATTTACATACAAGCTACCCAAGCTATTTGAATGCGTTCAGGGACAGTCTGGGAAGATTGGAACTGCTTGCTTGAAACTGTGTTTAATGGATCACCAGAAAAGACACTACACGCATTATAAAGCAAGTTAAATGCCCCCGGTGATTATGCTGGATTACGTATGCTGTTTAGCAAACAAAACAAACCGTCGTGTTTAGTGTGACACACATCTCGCATCCCGGACTTGTGGAGCTGAGCATCCAAAGGCCACCAGGAGAGCTGAAGCCAGG